CCACTCCCCGACAACCACATTAAAATCATGCACACGGAACCTGAAATGTGAGCAAACAAGAACCAGGACATCGTCTGATGGATCTGATGGTCGCGGTGATTAGAGAAGCTGGGTGATACAACTTTAATGAGCAGGACAAATTCCAGAAACAGATTTGGGTTTTTGTTTTAGCGACATTAGACCTCTACGGTCCGTCTGTCTTTGGTTCAGACTGAAACTAATTCTCAACAATCATTAAATGGATCGCCACCAGACATTCATTGTCCACAGAGGATGAACCCTAAAGACTTTGGTGATCACCTGACATTTCCCTCTAGCGCCACCAGCAGGTCAAAGTTTCCACTTAACCGGTAGAATATCTCGGTATCATGTAGGGCCGTCCCCGACTAAAGAGTTTTTCTAGTCAACTAGTAACCATTAAATAAAGCCAATAGTCAACTAGTTGTTGCACGTTTATGATATTAATTTAATTATTTAAATATATAGACTTTAAGAGACGTCTGTTAAATGCTGTAGCATGCTGAACGTTTAATTCATAGATTTTTAGTTTAACAACACAGAAGTCTTGTTGTTTAAAACACAGAATAAATAACTTCCAACTTCACTTAAACAAAAATGTATCGATACGATGGACGATGGATAACTTTAACAGTTGCCCCAGAGTCAGAGTCCTGGTTGGAGCCGCTGTAAATCAGATGGGTCCCTTAAACTCTCCCTGTCAGACAGCTTATAGGGCCACTAACAAGGCAGTGGGAACAGTTATAGGATAAGAGACTTCCTGTTTTACAAGAGAAAAGGTCTGTGTTCAAACATTTATCTGATACTTTAGTGACAAGGTGCAGCTCCCGAACAGATTCTGACACTGCGTTTGTTTTTCTGCGACTATCCGACTAAAGAAAAGTGCGGTTAGGTCGACTATCGGGGGGGCGGTTTCCTCGTTAACACGTTGTGAAAAGGAAACACTAAGTTTAAATATCTACAGTGAGATTAATACCAAGAGAAAACCGAGTGTTTTACGTTGATTATGTAAAGCTCTGTGGCGACTGAGGCTGATTAACTCTCTCCAGGTTTAAAGTGCCCTTCCTAGAAAGTTTTGGCTCCACTGCAGCATCCGTCTAAATAAGTTAAAGGCCGGTTGAGGATCACACGTACGACAGCACCTCTTTAGTGTTCTCACCTCCTGTGTCTAAGAATAGCTCCGCTGCATTATTGTTGTACAGAACATGTGTAGCAAGGACAGACGCTTTCATACAGGACAGAAGTATTCTGACTCCCAGCTGCTTTTCTGTGGTTGTAAATTTAATGTATTTATGTTTTAGACTGATGATGTTATCTTGGAGTTTATTTCAGGCAGTTTATCAGAGAGTAAAGGCTCTGTGTTCATTAACTAATTATCTTTTTAACTTTAAAAAACACAGTTTTATTTAGTTTTCTTCACAGATATTAAATGCTGAAAGTGTTGAGATTTTGAAAACGGCTTTTAACTTAAGAAAAGACTTTATTTACCATTTTATACTAATTTATCTTATTGTATTTTCTTACAATAATTTGAATTAGTTAATTTATTTTAAATATCTGTGTTATTGTTTCATTTGTTTGTTATTTCTGCCCTTACTTAATGTATTTTATTTAGTTTTTAGTAAATTCTTTCATTATCACTGCATTTTATTTTTTTATAAAATGTTTACTCCGTTCTGTCTCATTATCGTCTTATCAGTCGCCTGTGAAGCACTTTGAACTGCACCAAACTGTATCAAATGTTCCATATAAATAAAGTTTGATTGATTGATTGATTGATTGATAGATACTGTTTATATTGTTCAAGTTTTCTTAAACTCCTTAAAATCAAGAAGGCCTCTCGACCTCCTGTGAAGCTTTGGCGACCCCTGGTGGGGGTCTCGACCCGCAGGTTGGTTGTTGATGGTTTTATTATTTGGAAATTTGCACCAATTAAGTACAAAATCAGTCCTGCATGTCCTGTAAAGGAATCCAGTGTCAGGAGATATAATTCCAGCTTGTTTCATTAAATTCTTGAAGTAAACTTTATATTATAATACTGTTTATCATAATAAGCCCAAATATGAATCCAAATAATGTTTAATAATGCCCTAAAGTGTAAAGATTTGATGTTTATCGCATAAAAAACCCCCAAAGAAAATTAACTGGCGACCATTTTGATAATCAATTAATTATAAATTGTAAATCAGCTGGTTTTGGAAGATAAACTGAGTAAATTCAACTTTTTGGTAACATTTATATAAAGAAGATGCATTTAAGTGACTTTATTTCGATAAATTCTGTTCACACATTTTAAATAAGTTTGGAGAAATGCTGCATATGAATAACCTTAATTAACTGAATGGAATTAGTACAAATACTTAATCTTAACAATAAATACTTCCACTTAAACATCCTTACAGTTTGAGTCAGATTTTTACACTGATTATGAATTATTTCACATTCAATTGCACTCAAATAGCACAAATTCCTACAATAAGGTTGTATTTAATTACATTTCGCTGCCACAGAGTAAATCTAGGGACGGATAACCTCCTGCGTGTACCGATGGGAACCTAATGGTGGAGCATACATAGTGAACACACACAGTGCTGGAGGCATCAGGGGCCCAACAGAGACTCACTAACAGGTTAATCCAACCATGTTTACTGAAATATATACATTAAATTATCATGCAAACTGAGCATTCAATAGCTTGTAGACCCAGTATCTGTTTGTTTTTTTAAATGGGAGGTTTATGCAACCTGTATTCCCACTGGTTAAGGTTAAAACGTGAGAATCAGAAACAATAATATTCCCTTCAACAGCCCAGAATACAGACACACAGGCTGTATTGATCCGAGCCACAGTGATGGATGCCACCTGACTGACCACTGCAGACCACAATGTGCCAAATTAATGAGACATCTTTGGTGGTGACAGCTGTGCTATCAGGTCAACAACAACAACAACAACAACCCCATCATCAGAGACTCACCTGCAGTTCCTCTGCAGTCTCGGTTATTCAGCTGGATTTCCCCGTTGCAGAGAGCCTGAACGCAACATCGCTGTCAGCTGAGGCTGTATTTCCCAGCAGTGCAGTGCAGACTGATGGAAGCTTGTGATGGTGTTTATATATATATAAATATATATATATATTCTACACTGGAGGGTCCTGCTGTCCTCCTCCTGCCACCCCACACGGAGCGTTCATTCCCCGGGTGTGTGCGCCTGTCGGTCACCGCCGCACCTCCATCATCCACAAACACGGCCGTGCTGTCCGGTGTCTGAGCCTCCGTGTGCAGCCGGTGTCTGGTGATATATTCAGGTTAACAGTTACATCAGAGGACGGGACCTCCTTCTGTCGGACAGCAGAGGAGAAAGGCGCCCCCCAGCGGCCAACAGCCGCCTGCAGCCGGAAAAACAACATCATGAGACTCCTCCTGAAACATTACTTTAATCATTAAAGGACTCTTTTAATATTAAATATATTAATACTCACTATGATAAACAAGAGTATGTTGGTCTTGAACACCTGATTAATTTCATTTATGCAAAGAAATGTTTCTAAATTTTGCACCTTTTCTCCGAGAGTTAAATTACAGAAGCCGATTTCTGTCAATGTGACTGCAAAAAAAAAGATTCTGTAAGTCCTTATAATGAGAAACTTTCTTAATATTTTGACTTAGTATCTCAAAATATAGACTTTGTGACACTAATTCAGTATTTTAAGATATTAAGTCAAAATATTGGTAAAGTTAATTTGTCATTTTCAGATACTAAGGCAGTATTTGAGGGAAGTTAAATGTGTTTAAATTAGTTACAGAATAGTTTTTCCTCTCATCATATTGGCATAAATGAGCTTCCATATTAAACCATATTTTTCACAGCAGCCATTTTGACATGAATGTTCCTGCTGAACGATCAGGACTCATTAAATCTTAAATATATTATTACTCAGTTTGACAAACCAGATGATGAAGCTCTCGAATATCTGATTATTTTCACATACGCAACGTTTTTTATTCACAGAGATTTTCTAAATTAATTCCTCAGTTTGCATCTTTTCATTCAGAACTAAACAGACCTTTTTCATTTTTTTTAAATAAGTAGGGTAAACACAGGTGCTACCAACTGTAAAAATACATACAGGAATTTAGTGGAATCTCTGAAAACTCTTTTCTCATTAATGTAAAATATACAAGTTTTATTTATTTATTAAACATAAAATTAATTTCAGAATTGTTTCAGAAGAACTTACGAACACGAGTTGAAACTGATGAAATAATGAGTTAAATTAACTTTTAAAGAAACATAAAAAAGCATATTATCAGATTTCCCAGCATGCATTGTTTGAGTTTAAACTCTCCTGACTCTAATTTTTTTATTGTGTTCTTTATATTTATTTCAATTAAATTATTATTTAGTTTATCTTGCTTTTGCTTGACGTGTTGTGTGTTTTGTTTGCTGCCTGTTTACTTTCATAGATAACATGTTTTTACAGGAACATTACATACATTTAATAATATCAAATCACAAGTATTTTATATATAATTCAAAATACTTTTCTTGTGTGAACAAATTACCATTATTAACGTTTAGTATACTGGTAACATTTATAGTAGGGGCGCTGTGGTATAAAATTGACAATTATCATGCACATTTTCTTATCTACAGTATTAAATTCTTCCGTATTAGTTGTTAAAAATATATATAATTCATCTTTATATCAAGCTTCTGTCTGTTAGGACTTAATATTCTGTGAAATTATAATAAAATGTTTGTTCAACCAAAGAAAAAACCCTTTTCAACCCTTAAAGGATCATTGTAACTTATAATAATAATAATAATGTGTTATACTGTATATAATAAAACTGTAACCATATTTTATAGTTTTATTTTCATTTCATTTTTCGACCAAAACTCATCTATTTAATCCTTCAGACAACTCAGAAAACTATTCTGTCCTAAAAAGACACAATAGAGAAGCGACACATCCATTCATATATAAAAAAAAGCTTCATTTATTGTGCAACAACAACATTATAGTTCCAGTGAAGTTCATGTTAGGTAGGAAAACTGCATGGCAAAAGGAAGCAGTGCAATTTCATGCACAAGCATCGCTCGACGAGAAACAACCGACGGTGTGAAAATGTGTGTGTTGTACTGAAAGTGTGCTGGTTTGGATTGTACAAGTGGTTCTGATCTGGAGGGTCCAGTCCTGTAGCAAATTTTAAAATTATAAAGCAAAGTGACGAAGTAGCAATGGAAAGTATAAGAAGAAAAAAGGCGATTTTTGATTCAAGTAAACAAACATTTCCTTCAAGTTTGACAAATTTGGCCCAAAACAAACAACAACGACCTACTTACAAAAGCAAACATGTAAAATGCACCAAAATTTAAATCTGACGTACAAAAACATTAAATAAATACATTTTAAGTCATGTCAAATGGAAAAAAAAACATTTAAAAATGGCAGTGATATTTCCCAAATGGATGAATGTCTCTGCTGGAAATGTCTTTTTTTTTTAAATCGTTCACATTTACACTCAAACATGGCTGATTTTAAAAATCCACACCTGAATATGGCGAGTAAAACATATCATATTAATATTTTCTGACTAAAAAAGTAAACGACTTTTACAAATCTGTGTGTTACTAAAAATATACTCCAAAAAATTGCAATATATCTTTCATACAATATAAAAAATATCCCCGAGTAATAATACGTATATAAAAACGATGCCGTGGAGTTGCTGTACAGGTGGACTTATGGCACAGAAAAAATACTGAAAGACAATCAGTGCAGTGTATAAAACCAAGACACTAAGTTTGTAGCATCTACACTGTGATGTAAAAAGACAGACATTGCTATATGTTGGCGGAGGAGCGGAGGACGTGGAATCTCTTCAGAGTCATGCGGATGGATCCCAGCTCACGATTCACTCTGTCCAGACGATTCTCTAAGGCCACCTGAGGACGGAAGAACAGCAGAACCGTAGTTGGTAAGTCGGGTTCCTGCTGGTTTCAGGTTAAATTTGAGGCTTTAAAACTATTATGAAGGCAATTTAAGATCTATTTAACGTCCATACTGGCAAAAAATGAACAAAGGATATGAAGGAAAGTTGCTATTTGTTCCATTTTGGTTTTGTTTTGAAGTTGCTGCAGCTTGAGCCATAAAAATTCTTCCCAAAAACAAGTCAAATTTATACAAATAATGTTTAACTTCATGAATACAATTAATTTTAAAAGCATATTCTGTTACATTTTAAGGGTCTAAAACTTTTGAACACCCTGCAACTACTCCGATAATCAATTAAAACTTGTTTATAAGCAATTATGTCTTAAATTCTCTGGTTCCAGCTTCTCAAACGTGAAGATTTGCTGCTTTTTAGCCGCGTTAATTGGTCCACCGCTTTGGTCCAGAATGAAAATATCTCCTGAACTATTGATTAGACTGCCATTAAATTTGGTTCAGATATTTGTGGTGCCCAGAAGAAGAATCCTAATGACTTTAATTAGGAATGACTTCCTCTAGCGCCATCATCAGGTCACAACTAAAGACATTCCCGTCTACGTCAGCTGTACTGACTGATTTTCCTTTGTAATAAAGGTGCATTAAGACACAAATCTGAAGCTGCTCCTTAATGTTTTTTATAATTTACTGAAAAACAAAAGGAGACAGTGACCAAAAAAGATTACAGAGAGAGTTTGTGTGTCCTGCAGTGTTCGCTGCTCATCGCTGTGACCTTGTTTTCTTCTATATGCAGACGAGTGGAAAAAGGATTATAAAGCAAAAACTAATGTAGCCACATTTTTGCTTTCTGGCCTCAACTGTAATAAATAGATAATTGTTTAATTAATAACTTATAAGACAAC